TTTGACGCCATGAGATCACTCTTGACAATGTTGATAAGGAGTAGCGATCAAGTGTAGGTCATTTTTTGTAGCACAAGCTACTCCAGCCGCCTCGGTCAAGTCCAGTTCACTTGGATTGATTCCAGTTGGGAGTTTCCAGTCAAAGTGATTCAACAGTTGAGCCAGTGGAAAATAAACATTTGCTAGACCAAATGAAATTCCAGGGCAAATTCTCCTTCCGCTACCAAAGGGAAGATATTCATAATTATTACCAATATAATCCATAGAGTTGTGTTCAAATCTCTCGGGTTTAAAACTTTCTACGTCATCCCAATATTTTGGATCTCTTCCCATTGCCCAAGCATTAACCACGACTTTTGTTTTCAATGGAATAGTGTATCCATTTAAGTCTATTTCTTCTCTACATTCTCTTGGAAGCAAAAGAGGTAGTGGAGGATGCAGTCTGAAAGTTTCTTTAATGACCATTTTTAGGTATTTGAACTCTTCGACATCAATTTCACCAAAAGTTTCTTTCCCTCTCAAGATTTTTCTTACCTCTGCTTGAGCTTTGGAAAATACACATGGATTCTTCATCATTTCAGCCATGGCCCAATTAATGGTTGTTGATGAAGTTTCTGTTCCCCCACCAAAGATGTCCTTCATTTTCGAGCAAGTTACAATATTCATTTCTCTTACAAACTTCTTGACAAATTTCTACTGAAATATTCAAATAACATATTTGTACTACATTTGTGCTACTACCTTTATTCTACACCAAAAGGAACTTTTAAATTTTCAATGCCAAAAACCAAAATAAAATAAAAAATTATCATGTTATTTTGCTACTTGTTTCGTTATCCTAATACCAAGTTGTGGTGATTGAAATAACATTTGTTGTAATTTTCAAATGTGTACGGTATTAAAGATAAATCATAATGCTTCATCAATTTCCCTTTATATGGCACGGTATAACTAGATACAAAGTTTAAGAAAGACAGAAATGATTTTCGAACTTGTGGTATTAAATATGTCATGAAATTCTCGTGGCTATAAAAACATATCATTAAAGGTAAAATAGGAAATTTAAAGTTAAATTATTTCTTATATAAAAATACGTCATTCTTTATGGAATAGAATAAAAACAAGTTCCACAAAAAATAGAATAGAAGGAGTACT